CAATGGCCGCTCGTCTAGCCGGCCTCAAATCAATATTTATTCAACTTATGGAAATTTCTTGCGCTTGCCTCCGAATCCCTCGCCGCGACTCCCTTATATCCCACCACCCACGCTCTCCGATTTCTCGTTTGCGACAGTGTGTGCGTGTATGTGGGGACATCAGGGAGACGAGTCGGCGGCGGTTGCCGCCCGTAGTTTTTTCGTCGCCGAGACGCCCATAAGTGGTCTCAAGGAATGAAAATAAAATATTGATGACCCACTCGACTTTGTGTGTGTGTGTGTGTGTATCTGTGTGCGCGCTTGTGTCCGTCTTTCGCGTCTGGTATCTTTTCAAGTGTCTTCTTTCGTGACTGTGTGGGAAGTGCTTGCTGTGTTGGTTTTATTGCTCAGCGCGCTCTGAGCTCGTCAAGGCAAAGTATTTGTGCGGGAGTCGTTGGGTACGTACCACTTTGTTCTTGTAACTACCCGCTTCTCTATCACTTCCGGGCAGCGCGATGGCTGGGTGGTGGCACTGAACTGCCGAAGTTTCTGGCTCGCACACACAGACGCGCGTGCGTTCACACTATAGGATAATCAAGGTGGATCCGAGGTAGTCCCCAACAAAGGCTTGACAGACAGCCAAGTTGTCGGAGAATCGCCGCCCACCCTGAGAGTGGGTAATGAAGTGGTTCTCGTCGCGCTGCCTAAACTGCCCAATTTGGGACAGGCGCAATCTAAAACGCGCGTAGAATGTTCCCTTTGAGAGTGGTAGAATAGAGTGAACCTGGAACTGAGGACGTTAGTTTCAGGACATACCAATGCCGATTTCAAGTGCTTTCAACATACTGGTCGGTCTCAATGCAAGTGTGCACGTGAAATGCAAGTTTTTGTCGAAATTCTGGAGAAATTGTGATGGCTGAGAAGGAAATGGGAGTTTACTCAGATGAAAAGAATTATTCATTAATATCATCGCAGTGCTATATTTGTGCCGTGTGTATTTTGACTCAAGCGTTCTATTCCAGTCGCATTAAATTCCCTAGCAGTGGTAGTGTCTTTGATTGTTCGCGTATCTCGCATTCTGAGTTCAGCCATTGCTTTCCTCTGCGGCACGAAGCATGCTTGGATGTGTGCCGATGCCGATTGGTATCGCGTTGTGTTCCCCACCGAGCCTCTCCGAGTGCGACTCTAGCACCACCACGCGAGTTTGTTTGCTGTGTCTATCAGAACCGCCCGCGAGGCGCCCGCCGTTTCAAAATAAAACCCCCGCCGGATACACCCAGTGAGCAAATAGCGCGCAGCGTGTAGCGGCTGCCGTGTAAGTAGTATGCCGAGGGTAAAGCGCTGCTGGAATAGCACGAAAATTGGTGCTGGAAGTCTGTCTTTTGGACTGCAGAGCAGCTGAGGTGCGGCAGGGAGTGGCTGGCGGGGCCGCTGCCGGGCCCGGTCAGTTTGGAGATTGTGTCAGGAGCAGGGCTGGCCCTCCCCGGTCCTCTCTGGCCTCCGTGGGGCGGCCGGGTGCTGCCCTCAGAGATATGGACACTGAAAAGGGGCGCGTGGGGAAGTCAGTCCAGCCAGGCTTTATCTGCTGCTACTTTTTCCATTCATTTATCCACCTGGACTGCCAAGTTATAGCGCAGCCAAACGGGCCTTTTAGAATCACCTCAAACGCATTTAGAAGCCACGTTGATGGGAGTGTAAATCGGTGCCGCGCCGCTTGGAACTCCAGAAGTACGGATGGTCGATCACTCCGTGCCCAACAAATCCCAAAACTGGCGCGGGGGAATGGGGAGATAAGTGCGGACAGAAGAAAGGAGGTTTTCCATTATCACCCGGAGGCGTGGCCCGGCGTGGCCCGGCGTGGCGTGGCTGTGGGATGAGTTACGGCCGGAAAAACGCACAACACTCATTACCATCCATTGGGCCATGCTGTGCGTACATAATGGCACGCAAGAGTCGCGAACCAGCGCCCCTAATTACTGCAAGTTGGCGTTTTCAAAAGCCGTCTGCTGCCTGAAGCAACAGCCGGGCGATCTACATGATGTAATGGAGCATCGCGGAACAAGAAGACAGGTCGTCACAAACAAGGCCCACGAGCCAAATGGGGCAAAAGGCCGAACAAGAGGGCCCATCTGCTCGCGGCCAGAACGTCTGCGATGTGAATAATTTATAGTATGTGAAAAAAAGGCTCGCTTTTTGACCAAAAAGCGCAGTTTTATCGGACTAGAGTGGTGGACGAACGAACGGCAACCACCCCCACTTCTATTCCTTCCTCTGGACTTTTTTTCTTAAACTGACGAGAGAGGTCGTTGCACGAAGAAAAAAGCGTGGCATTTCTCTCCACTTGCAGAGCGTTTTGCTGCTGTGGTGTGGCTCGGGCCGGCCGCAACTGCTGCTTAACCCAATCACTTACGCGAGATTGCAGAAGCAGGTCAACCATTTTTCGCAGCCGCCTGTCCGACCGGCCCGACGGGCTCTGCCTGGGCTCTGCCTGGGCTCTGCCCCTCCTGCCTTGCTCCCCGCGGCCCCGAAGCAGCTCCACGCAGCCTCTTGCCCGTCGCACCGACCTCTCGCAAGGACTTTCTATAGAGTGACCAGATTTTTCTTACGTTTCATTCATTCGAGACGTCGCGTCGAGTGACCAGATTTCTCTCGGCTTTCATCCCCTCGCTGCCGCCGCCGCTCGACGTCCGTCTCTTTTCGCTGAAGGAGAACGCTGAGGGAAAAACGCTACAAAACAGAGTTGTGTTTGAAAATAACCGGTCAAAAAAGAGGAAAAGTTGTTGAGTCAGCAAACCGGATGTTTCAAATGTAATAATTTTCTGTTTACCCTGCCACGGAAAGGAAAGAACAATACCACGGTTGTTTTTATTGTAGAGCAACCAGCAGAGATAAAACTGTGGGAATCAATTGTAAAGGGTGGTCCCCGCTGTCCCTTTCAATGATTCGCGCACGCCAGCCAGGTAATTGTCTTCGCGTTATTCACACGCATTCACTGTGCGAAATGGGTCTGAGAAATATTGGATCCGCAGGTACATACAGCACGACTGAAACAAAAAAAAAAAAAGAAAACAGACTGTAGTGCTCTACATTATTCATTCCGCAGGTTCTTTTTCTGTCCCTTTTTTCTTTGTTCCACGAAAGCTTGTGTTTGCGCCGTTCGCGGCCCGAAGCGCAAAAACACAATGGGGACATCTTTCCCCATTCTTTGCACTCGTTAGCTATTCGAACCCTCTGCACCTGCTTTGCACCTGCTTTGCACCTGCTTTGCACCCACCCCACAAATGAAGCCGAAAACAATAGAGGTGTTCCTCCTCACCAGGTCCTCTGTGTGTGTGTGTGTGTGTGTGTGTGTGTGTGTGTGTGTGTGTGTGTGGCGCGCGCGCCGCACTCTGCAAATACGGAGCCCTCTGTATCAGTCAAGCCGCAGTATTGCGGGATGCCTTTCCTCGCCTTGGACGGACGCACAGTTGGCTGTGCTCGTTACCTAAGGCTTTGCACACCCGTACAGTGTACTCGCCTTTAATTCTCAAACACACAATTCAATTCAATTTATGCAGAAATAAGATGGGAGTTGTGAATCTTGCCATAAGACGGTGATAAATTTGTCTCCGCCAAAGAATGGTCAGAATCGTCACCCTTTGGTTTTCATTGGAACTCGACAAATGAACAAAAGACAAAAGACCTACTCACGTTGTTGCGGCCTCTTTGGCGAGAGTTCGACTGCGGTCCAAAACGGGGTCACACTAGGAAAATTTCAGTCGTCACTTGATGACAATTTGAAGGCTAATTTTCCTTACGAGGATGTCATCAAAACAGTTGATGACACTGTTGTCACGCCCAGGCAATAAGTATCATCCATTAGTGATGAGATTGTCATTAGTTGAAAGTGATGAAAATATCATCCACGTTTTTGTCATAAAGTGACAACAAATTTTAACAGTGCAGGAAGGCGGCGCAATTATTCCTCTCTGACCTCCCCGACGTTGCAAACGGGGCCCCGCGGGGCCTATTAACGGCCCACTGGCCCGATGCACGCTGGCCTCCATTTTAGCGTGCATGGTAGCTGCATTTGGCCACCTGAACCTGTAGTGTCCCTGCACTGCCCTGCACTGCCCAGCGGGGCTGGCCACCACTCCGGAAGATAGCGCCCCGGCCATTATGCGGAATGCAAATCAAAGGGTCCGCTTAGCATCATTCATTCCCACTGCCTTTTGACCACTTACCACCGTTTTTATCGGCAAATAGCGAACAGCCACCCGCCGCGTCGTGTCCACTTCTGCAACAACCCGTTGCAGAGCTTGTCACTTCTTTTGACTGTCACGCAGTGAGCGAGCACGTGGCCTGTTGTGAGTTTTACCCGCCACAGTACACTTTCTCTGCTCCTTTTATCATTTGAATTCAATATTTCCTTGTGTTATTGGCTGAGTCCATCCTCATCCTCACGGTCTCCCACTCTGTTGGTGAGTGATTCTTGAAATTCCTTCGACTGACGTGTTATTGACCGATGCTGGCCGCGCGCATGACCCTGATTGGACGGAGTGGATTGCAGGGCGAAGGCAGCCACGGCCATCCTTCTTTTGTTTGTGCAGCGTCTGCGAATAATTAGGGCGAGGTTGCATTTTACTCTCTGCCAATAAAGCTCCGCGACGCGGCTACGGCCTCGACCACAGTCTCCACCACGGCCTCCACCACGACCTCCGCAGCTATCCGGCCGTTCATCAAACTGGCCGTCTGGGCCGTCCTGAGAATCCAATTAAAATAACGCAGCGAAACTGCGCCGCCACCGCCATTTGTTGCGCGGGCTAAACTGTCGGGACTTAAACTCGATTCAGCCCGACGTCCCCTTTATTTGAACTAGCTTGAAGTTCGGCGGGTTTAATGCTTAAGTCACGTCGTTTTCCTGGCAGCTTCCCTGGTGTTTATCTGTTAATATCAAATTTTTCAAAAAAAAAAAAAAAAAAAAAAAAAAAGACACAAAAAAACAATTTGTAACTTTGTGTTGTTTTTTTTTCTTGTTGCAGGCCGCGATCGCGTCTGAGGCCTCGACTCGTGCCATGGGAGTGGGCGTCCCCGCCTGACTATGGAACCAGGGCCGCCAGGGCGTGATGGGCGCCGACACGGGCAAGGTACCAGCTGCTCCCCGCCAGGCTCCCCCATTTGCGGAATGGAAGGATTTTGCCCACCATCTAGTACCAGTCTGACGTTCGGATGCGGGCCGAGTTTCGTCTCGCCGTTTCCAGCGAGCTAGCCGCTTATGCGAAGCAATAACACCGCCTTCTATGAAGACCCCGGCTTAGCGTTGCAATTATTTCTCTCTATAACAAGCCGCTCTGCATCAGAATGGGAACGGGACCGCTCGCTCTGTATAGCGTTGCCGCCTTTTTTGCCTCCAACGGACCCGAACATGGAAAAGAAGCGAAAAAAGCAAGAAACAGCACATCAGTGAAACAGAGGTCTCGTCGCATTTATCGATTGCTCATCGTGTGGCGGACGGGCCGGAAGGGCCGGAAGGGCGCAGCCGGGAGGGAAACGGGATCTAGGGGCCCGTAAAACGCGTGTTAAAAGGCGCGCCTTTGCCACCGTCTCATTCTCTCCAAAGAGGCTAACTCGTTGCCGCCACTTTTTCCCTTGTTTGAATGAACCGCACTCTGCCGGCCGGCCCAGAAAACAGCGCAACTTTGGCGCTCTTTCATTGCGGTCGGACGGCGTGGCGGTAGGGGCGCTCGCCCCTCGCACTGCCCCCCCCCCCCCCCCAGGCGGCATTCGAGCCGGCAGCCCGTCCTGCATCGGGCCAGTTTGAGGGCAGCCAGCGCCCGCCCTTTGCAGCGCCTTTCAAAGAAACCGCCCTGTAAACGGGTAGCTGTGAGGGCGCTCGCCGGGCGTCCCGTAGTCCCCGTCTGTGTGTGTGTGTGTGGGGGGGGGGGGGGTGTATGCGTGTGTGTGTATGAGAGACAGAGAGAGAAAGAGAGTCAGGGACTCGAGACGCACACACTGCATGGCGGCATGGCTTAGTGCGGCTGGACTTAATGCCAAATTTTGGCTAAGCAGAAGGTCTTGCCAAAAAGGAAACCAATAAAACAGCAGGACAAAGAAGTACACGGACCAAAAAAGGCGCCCCACTCACTCGTCCGGCTGCTCCTCAGCGGGGCCAGGACTCGGGCCCTGCCAAAACACGGGGGCCGCTGGCAAGGACTCTGGCGGCGGTTTGATTCCAGTCGGCCCCCCATTGTCCGGACTGTGTGCTTTGGCATGTGCAAGGGCAGGACTGGGAGACAAAAGACGGAGCACGCTGCAAACGGCACTGGCCGCCAAAACGCCCTGCGACTGGTGATAAGGCCTCTGTGCTGCGCTGTGCTGCGCTGCCCGCGGCACAATGCATTCGTCCGGGCCGCACAGTGGTCTGCATGCAGTCGCTGCCGGACAGTCGGACTGTCTCATCCGGGCCATTTCCATCTCTGCCCACTAAACTGTCCAGAACTCTGCAGGAAAGTGGCCCTTTCCGCTGGCGGCAGTGCTGGCAGTGGCGGCGTCACCTCACCAGCCGGACTGGCTGGGGCCCGCCCCCACCCCCCGCCCCCGCGTCTACCCCCAGTCCCTTGGGCCCCACCTGCACAATGTGGAGGCCGGTGCTTAGCTTGGGCCCGGCTGGGCCTGCATGCCTTGTTCAGCCCCCTTGCTTCTATTCACTGCTAAAACAACACCAACTGCTTCGAGGACCGTGCGACATGCGCCACTGGGTCAGAGGGGTTTTGTATTCGCCTTTTCCTTACACTGACAAAAAGACGGGGGCGCATACATCGACGCTCGCCGCATACATTGAATAAAAAACAGTAAAGCCGCGGGCCCAGCGTCCTGCGGCATTCGGACGATATTGATCCCTTGGGGAGCGAGGGGGAGGCATTTCCAACCACATTTAAATCACATGATTTTCATTTTTCGTCAACAAAAAAGGGAAGAAATTTGCGGGAGATTTGCATTAGACCGCGATATAAAAGCACATTTAGCTCGATTAAACTACTTTTCGCGGCCGCGGCGTCTGCCCGGCGGGGTTAAATCATGGCGGCCGTGCGGCGGCGGTGGCGGCGGTGCCGTGACTCTCAAGTGGGAAACACGTACTTTGCGTTTCCGAAAAGTTTCACAACTCGGGCGGCTGAGTGGGGCTGATCGGATAAGTACGTCCTTCTTTCCGACTTTGGGAGCCAAAACCCGTAATCCCCCCTTTCTCCGTCATCGGCCCTAACGCCACTGCCGCGCCCTCGCGTTAAGATGCCCGCCCCTCTTCTTTCCGGCCGGCCCGATCGCGCGCGGATTTATTTGATTCCGACCAGAAAGGCACGCCGGAAGTTTTGGATGCGCTCGTTGGTGTGGAAAGATCCCCGCCCTCGCCCCGCCACCCCGCCCCGCCCCTCTAAACGCCCCCCACGCATGCTCGCTACCCGCCCCTCATTCTATCGCGTCTCGAATCAAGCATCTTCGTCCTCTCGGCAGAAAGAGAGAGAGGGGGAGGGGGGGGAGGGGGTATGCGCGCGAACAGAGTTGGGTAGACGAGGCAGAAGGCTGTAGCCCTCTCCCAATTTCCACCTGACACCGCTGACAGCAAGAACCGCGCATAATCACATTGCCTCGGTTGAAAACTTGGTTGCGGTAGAGGAGCCGCACCACGGATTTGGGAGTGCAGCAGCCCGCAGTGGGCCAGAAGACCGGCGCAGGCGGTCAAAACTCGAGACGCGTTTTGAGCTCCAGAGTCGCTGAACATGACTCGAACCAGCGTTCCTTGACCAAAAAGATTAAAAAAAAGTAGTTTAATTTACGTTTACGTTTGAGAAGCGCACATTTCAGTTGATTTTGAAACCGGCCGCCGGGGAGTTGTGGCAGTGCACCGCTTGTACGCAGTTCCGATTGCCTGGTCGCGATGCTCATCTTTTTTCCCGATCTCTTTCACACACACACACACACACGCACACTCGACACCGCAGCCGCGGCGCTGACAGATTTATTGAGACCAAGTTGGCATCGAGGGTGTCAATGCGTGGCCCCGTTAGTAACTTGCGATCCACCCGGATCCACCACACTGGCACGTGCTCTTCGTCTCGCTCGCACCGCGTCCCACGCTCGCCCCGCTCCGGCCACCTCGACAAACTCGATGCAAAAGGATCTAGACATCGAGATGGGGCCGACCGTGTCTCTCTGGCGGTAAACCCCCTTCTCTCTCTCTCTCTCTCTCTCTCTCTCTCTCTCTCTCTCTCTCCCTCTCCCTCTGTCTCTCTCTCTCTCTCTCTCTCTCTCTCTCTCCCTCTCCCTCTGTCTCTCTCCCTCTCTCTCCCTCTCTCCCTCCGTCTTGCTTCGAGAAGACCGGCCCATTTTGTTGCCTACCCGTCCCCTGCCGCCCGTTTTCTTGCGAGCTTTTCGCACGACCGGCGCTGCGTCGTGGCGCTGCGACCCGCGTCGTGCGTCACTCCTGGCGTGCCACGCGTGTCCTCGTCACGCCCGTCACGCCCCACGCATGCAACACGCACGGCTGGCCCAGCTTCTTTCTCCCTTCTATCTGATGACCTCGTTTGAAAGTGATGACTCACTTGTCGCACCGCGGCGCGAGCGCCAGCACCACAACATCTGTCACTCTTTTGGAAACACCGTGTCTGGCTTTGGCTCGGGACCGCTCTGGCACGGCCAGGGCACGGCCAGGGCACGGCCAGGGCACGGCCAGGGCACGGCCAGGGCACGGCCAGGGCACGGCCAGGGCACGGCCAGGGCACGGCCAGGGCACGGCCAGGGCACGGCCAGGGCACGGCCAGGGCACGGCCAGGGCACGGCCAGGGCACGGCCAGGGCACGGCCAGGGCACGGCCAGGGCACGGCCAGGGCACGGCCAGGGCACGGCCAGGGCACGGCCAGGGCACGGCCAGGGCACCGCCAGGGCACGGCCAGGGCACGGCCAGGGCTAGACCCGCTAGACCCGGTTGACCCGCCGCCGCCGGCTCCCCGCGGGGCGGACCCTAGCGGGCTGCCTCCGGGCAGCGCGCTCACTCCCTCTCCCCGTGACGCCGCGTGAGTGCGAGAGAGACAGAGCCACCAAAGCCCTGCTCGGAATCGGGCCGCGGCGGACCTTCAAAGAGGCATGATGGATGAGGGCTCCTTCTGGATGCTCCGGCCCAGCAGCGGCCTCCACGCCGGCGGCGCTAGAGGCGCTAGCGGCGTGCGTGGGCTGCAGTCTTTGCGTAGAGCTGACGTCGCAGGGCTCCAGCGGCAGGCAGCCAAGCAGGCAGCCAAGCGGGCAGCCAAGCAGGCAGCCAAGCAGGCAGCCAAGCAGGCAGCCAAGCAGGCAGCCAAGCAGGCAGCCAAGCAGGCAGCCAAGCGGGCAGCCAAGCAGGCAGCCAAGCAGGCAGCCAAGCAGGCAGCCAAGCAGGCAGCCAAGCAGGCAGCCAAGCAGGCAGCCAAGCAGGCAGCCAAGCAGGCAGCCAAGCAGGCAGCCAAGCAGGCAGCCAAGCAGGCAGCCAAGCAGGCAGCCAAGCAGGCAGCCAAGCAGGCAGCCAAGCAGGCAGCCAAGCAGGCAGCCAAGCAGGCAGCCAAGCAGGCAGCCAAGCAGGCAGCCAAGCAGGCAGCCAAGCAGGCAGCCAAGCAGGCAGCCAAGCAGGCAGCCAAGCAGGCAGCCAAGCAGGCAGCCAAGCAGGCAGCCAAGCAGGCAGCCAAGCAGGCAGCCAAGCAGGCAGCCAAGCAGGCAGCCAAGCAGGCAGCCAAGCAGGCAGCCAAGCAGGCAGCCAAGCAGGCAGCCAAGCAGGCAGCCAAGCAGGCAGCCAAGCAGGCAGCCAAGCAGGCAGCCAAGCAGGCAGCCAAGCAGGCAGCCAAGCAGGCAGCCAAGCAGGCAGCCAAGCAGGCAGCCAAGCAGGCAGCCAAGCAGGCAGCCAAGCAGGCAGCCAAGCAGGCAGCCAAGCAGGCAGCCAAGCAGGCAGCCAAGCAGGCAGCCAAGCAGGCAGCCAAGCAGGCAGCCAAGCAGGCAGCCAAGCAGGCAGCCAAGCAGGCAGCCAAGCAGGCAGCCAAGCAGGCAGCCAGGCCGCCGGGGTCGCAATCATCAATAACGACTCACTACTTATGTGGGAATGACGTATGGGAAATTCAGCAAGTCGCGCCGCCCCGCCTTCCGGCTGCCTCCGCCATTCATCTTTCTCGGCTCGGCGCTCGCAGCGCCCGCAGTGTCGCGACACGTGTTTCGCCCTTTCGATAATGACAATGCGAACGGCGCCGCGCTGCCGACGGCCGTGTTGAGTGTCGCTTGAGTTCGCAGAGCCTCGTCGATGCCGCCCGGCAGACTGAGAGTCGTTTTCGTCGCTCTGTCTCGGTCGCCTTCATGGGGCGTGCCGTATGGGTGCGAGAGAGACAGAGCGACGAAAACGACTCTCGGAATCAGTCTGCTGAGAACGAGGACGCTGAGGGTCTTGATGAAGCGGCGAGTGCATGCGCGCCGTTCTACATGATGCAGCTCTCTGTCTCTTCCTCGTTCTAATCGCGACGGCGGATTGCGTTCGGCCAGGCGTGCTGCATGCAATCGTCGTGGTGGAGGCACTACTGATGCAAAACCCGAACATGTTCCGGGAAATCGGAAACCGGCGGGCACAGTGGGCCAGAAGACCGACGGAGGCGGCCAAAAGCCTAGACGCGTAGCTCCAGAGTCGCCGAATGACACTCGAACCATACGTGTGACCCTACCAATGGGATTCCTCGTTCGGAGAGCAGTCCATTCGGTTTGAGTGCCATTTAGCGTCTCTAAACCTCAAAACGCGTCTAGAACTTTAGCCGCCTACACTGGTCTTCTGGCTCACTGTGGCGGGGCGCGGGGCGGGAAGAGAAAAAATGTTGCTTCCTCATCACCCGACGCGAACTCCACTCTCACCGACGAATGATTCCCCCTGCCAAGAATCCGCCGCCCCCCGCCTCTTCCAGGGCGCTTCCAGGAAGCCCTCCAGGGCGCCCTCCAGGACGTCTCAATACACCGCCCGCCGCGTCTCATAAGCCGCCCGTCTCGGACACGACGCGATGCGACGCGAGGGATCTCCGTCTCTTTGCAACACGATACAGACGGTACCTGTTACACTGTCCACGCTCGCTGCCCGTCCGCTCGCCCACCCGGTCTGTCCGGCCGTCGGCCGCCGTCGCCACTCGGAAACTTTTCCCCTTTTCCTCGTAAAATTGTTGTGGGCGGCGTTTTGTTGCCTCCGGTTGGCGGGCTTGCTCCGTAATTCCGTGAGTGTGGGGGAAGGCGGAGGCCTTTGGCTGCGGCGCGCCGTGGCGTGGCGTGCCGTGGCGCAGCGGGACGGTCGGTGCTCTGATAGATTACCCGCTCTTTGCGCGCAGGGCGCGCCTACCTCGTCGCTGTGAACTCGGCGCCACCACTTGGTGACGGTGACGTCACCGTGACAGTGGCGTGACGTCCTCGACTTTGAGACTTCATCTGCGGAGTGGCGCTGGGCGCGCTGCACGTGGCGCCCGCTTTGGCGCAACCTGCGAGGCGCCGCCGCGCTGCGAACCCTTTTTTTGCGCTCGGAGTTTCCAGTGGCCTCGTCACATTTGGTGCGAGGGGTGGCGGGTTCGACTCCCGGTCGGGGCGGCTGGTCTCGCCAGCAGGCAACGCCTCCCCTCCAAAGTGGAGCGGTTAGCGCAGCTGTCTTCGCCCAGATTGGACTTCCGATGAAACAAAAAGAGAAAAAAAATCTAGCGGCGGTGCGGGGCTTTGAACCAGCGAACTGCTGCTTTCCGAGGCGCGCGCACGCTGCGCTGCGCTCACAACTGTAAGGCAATCTATGGAGAGCGAAAACGGAGGTCCTTTGGAACAATGGCGCGGTCCTCTTCCTTGCCGGGGCCTCTTCTCATTTACCTTTGCACTCCGAGGGGGTGGGCCCCGGCCTGCCCCGGCCTGCCCGGCCTGCCCGGCCTGGCGTGTGTACTACGCTGCGAATCCTGTGGGAAATTAATTTGGTGAGAGCACGAACGAGCTCATGATATGCCGCGCTTATCAGATTCACAAGAGCCATGTGGGAGGGAGGGCGACGGAGGGAGGGGGCACGCGTTCTCATTGGCATCTGGACCCGGGGATAGCAGTGGACCTGGTAAACGGGCTCGGCACTTCGAGTGCCCAGAGCCGCTGCAGTTAGTACACGGAAAAAAAGGATTAGTTGTGACAACTAACATGTTAGTTGAAAAGCGTCCTAAGATGATTTTAGTTTTCACGACTAAAAGTTTGCTGCTCGAACGACTTTATAAGTTGAAACGACCAAAAAACTACAGTTGGCTCAAGGATAAAGTTGATTATGCCTACACTATGTTAGTTCCTTGTAGGGGAGACTAGCGCCGACTGAGCGTCTCGACGCTGTTCCTCAATGCTCTTGGTTTGTCTTGGGTACGCGTCCGTGGCGTGACTCCGCCCTGCACTGCGTGGGCGCTCCGTGACCCGCAGTGGGCCAGAAGACCGGTGGAGGCGGTCAAAGTCCCGGACGCGTTTTGAGCTCCAGAGTCACTAAATAGGACTCGAACCCAACGTGTGACCCCACCAACGGGTTGCTCTCCGGACGAGTAATCCATTGGTGGGGTCACACGTTCGGTTCGAGTCCCGTCCAGCGACTCTGGAGCTCAAAACGCGTCTAGAGTGTTTGGCCGCCTGCGCCGGTCTTCCGGCCCACTGTGCGCCCCGGCCCGCCCGGCTGCTGCTATTCTTCCCGCGCACTGTTTGCCGTCCTCGAGTGCCCACACGGGACGGCGGAATGAAGTGCCCGTTCTTAATTAGTCGAGGCAATGCCGCGTCCACTGCATGGCTGGCGCGGCTGGCGCGCCCGAGGACGCCGAGGACGCCGAGGACGCCGAGGACGCCGAGGACGCCGAGGACGCCGAGGACGCCGAGGACGCCGAGGACGCCGAGGACGCCGAGGACGCCGAGGACGCCGAGGACGCCGCGCGCCGCAAGCCCGACTTGGTGTTTGAATTGTCTGCGGCCCGACGGACCCGACGGACCCGTCGCATCGCCCCGGGCCAGGCCCCCGGCGCCCGAAGGACCGAAGGCCGAAACTCTTGCCAAGGAAGCGCATCGCCCGTCCGCCGCGGGGCGGGGCGGGGCAGGGCGGGCCACGACCACATGAACGCCAATATGCGAGCCACCGCGCCAAAAACTTGTCGGCCAATGTCGCCGAGTTGGCTGCGCAGAGACAGAGAGAGAGAGAGAGAGAGAGAGAGAGAGAGAGAGAGAGAGAGAGAGAGAGAGAGAGAGACAGACAGACAGACAGACAGACAGACAGACAGACAGACAGATAGGCAGACAGACAGAGAGACAGACAGACAGACAGACAGACAGACAGATATAACGGTGGCGCCTACACAGCCACCGAGTCGTCATTCAAGGACACTGCATTAAAGAGGCGAGATGAAAGAGGAGTCGTAGGCTTGTAACAGTCGTAGGATTGTTGTTGTCAAAGATAACGGCGCGGGCATCGGGACATCGGTTGGACGGACGGGGCGCGTGAGGCGCCGCCGCCAGTGTGCCACCGTGCCACTGCACTGTAACTGTCCTGGTTGGGTGCGCGTGACCGACAGTGTGCCCCCAGAAAAGAAGGCAAAAAGGGGCCAAAGCCGAAACTACTGGAGGGCTACTGTATGTCCTTCTGGCCTGGCATTTTTTCCACGCCGCTGTTATGAGTAGCCGCCTAGCAGGCCGGATGATATAGCCTATCGGTGTGCTGGGGCTCCTTTGCGTCCTCTTTTCTTGCAACACTGTGCCTGAGTGCACCGTGGGGATGTCTGTTCTGTTCCGTCTGCTGTCTGTCTGCCTGCCTGTCTGTCCGTCTGTCCGCCCGGCCGTCTGTTCGTCGATGAGGCGTGTGGCGAACGCGTATAACGCGGAGGGGCGGTAATGAAACTGCAGGGCGTCGCGTCTCCGCGCCCCGTCCCCGGGGAAGGGCAGTTCGCTCCATTTGTAAGGAATAAAACATTTACGATGATGGAGAACGGCGTCGTGCCGAGCCGTGCCGTGCCGAGCCGTGCCGTGCCGAGCCCCGTAAAGACGAATAGGGCGCTGAGGGCGTGCGATATCTCCAGATTCGACCGAGGCGAGCCGAGGGCTGCTCTCTGCCTCGGGGCTCTCCGACGCCTGGGCGGCGAGCACGGCGGCGTGCCTCAGGAACGCGCTGGCCTCGGGTCAAGCCTCGGGTCGACCGGAAGTCGCGTTCCGTGCGGTGGGTGGACGGCCACTAGGAGAAGTGCCTTCATTAGAACGGCGACACTCACGACACTCAGGACAGCGACAACGCCGAGGACGACGCTTTTCCATCCCCTGCTCCGTTTTTGCAGTGCACGCGACAGACCCGCCCCATGAATGCCAGACACGGCGGCTGATGCATCTGTGGTCTCTGTTGCAGGGCGAGCCGCTCGATAAGACTATGGGGTGAGTATCACACCGGGCGTGCGTGTGAAAGCAGCAGCAGCAGCAGCAGCAGCAAAAAAAAGCGAAGGGAAATGCGTGTTTTTCTTTTCTTGGACGTCCCTTTCAGTGTGGAAAAAGGTGCACGCCCCGGCGGCCTTGGGCGCCTGGGGCCGGCCAGCCCTGGGCAGCCCTGGGAATGAAAATAGCGCCACTCCGCCGGAAACAGGTGATGGCCAGACAGAGTCCGTGCGGACACGTCGCAGCGCCCTCTCTTCTTTGTGCAGCGCAGCATCGTCGGCAGCCCGTCGGCAGCCCGTCGGCAGCCCGTCGGCAGCCCGTCGGCAGCCCGTCGGCAGCCCGTCGGCAGCCCGTCGGCAGCCCGTCGGCAGCCCGTCGGCAGCCCGTCGGCCGGCCGGCCCCGTGAAGGACAGGCCAGGAAGAGTAAAGGGCAAATCGGTCGGCCGCCCCGCCGCGCCCCGCCCCGCCCCTCCACGCCCCGCCCCGCCCCACCCCGCCCCACCCCGCCCCACCCCGCCCCGCCCCACCCCGGCCTGCGCCACCCCGCCCCGGCCCACTCTGACTTCCTGGTCACGTTTGGCTGCTGTCGAACTGTTGGATCCTGTTCACCATGTTGGCTCACCACACATCAGGCGCATCAAGGCCGTCAGGCGCCGTCAGGCCGTCCCCTCTTTTCCCCTTCCATCAACGGCGCCGCGCGCATCAAGCCCATTCGTGCGCGTGTGTGTCTATGTGTGTGTCTCTGTGCGTGTGTGTGTGTGTGTGCGTGTGTACGTATATCTGTTTGTGTGTGTGTGTGCGTGTAGCTGTGTGTGTGTGTGTGTGTGTTTCTGTGTGTGTAGCTGCGTGTGTGAGTTAGTGTCTTCGTGTGTCAGGTAATCCTCGGTGCACACGGCGGGTTGATCAGACTTACGCTTAAGCCGCCCCGAATCCCGAATCCGCGTTCCGAAATGCGAATGGATCGGAGCCAGGGCGCCAGGCCGGGGCCACACCAGCAGGCTGCTTCCGAGAGTCGTGCTCGTCGCTCTGTCTCTCTCGCACGTCTACGGGGTCGCCCAGGAGTGCGAGAGAGACAGAGCGAGGACAGGGCAGGGCGATGCAGTGGCGTGGGAGTGCCGTGGCAGTGGCGTGGCAGTGCCCAGCCTTCCCGGCGACTCGTTCCCGGGGAAACGGGACGGACGAGATAACGGCGGATCCAGGTGGCTTTGGCGCGCCGTGGCGGTCTCCGGGATTGTTTCGGAGCTGCACCGAAGGAATGAGACTTATCCCGACATTTTTCTACACGCGTCGTCCTTCTTGTTTCTCCCCCACTCCGCCCCAGTCCGCCCCGATGCGCCGTGTCACACAGGGCCAGAAGACCGGTGAAGGCGGCCAACTCCAAACGCGTTTTGAGCTTTAGAGTCGCTTGGCCTCGAACCGAACGTGTGACCCCACCAATGGATTCCTCGTCAATCCATTGGTGGGGTCACACGTTTGGTTCGAGTCCTCTTTAGCGACTCTGGACCTCAAAAGGCGTCAACCCAGAGAACAGAAAAAGGTCATATTGACGTCAAGTGAGCTAAAATTGATAAAACTTGGTCATGCTCTGCATCAGTGACCCCTCATGACTAGAATTTGACTCGGTATTTTGTGTCAAATTCATATCATAAGATATCATATTCAATAAAAGGATATCAATTGACGTGCACTTGACGTCAAAAATCGCTAACTTTGACCGTCGGCAATGATGTCATCTTGTCACTAGTCATTTGACATCATCGTGACCTTTTTCTGTTCTTTGGGAAGAATTTTTGCCGCCTCCACCGGTCTTCTGACCAACTTAGCGTGTGCGCCGGGGCCTGGGCCCTGTTTCGACCGAGCTGCCATTTGAAGGACACGCTCTCTAATTCCGAGAGTCGTTTCAGTCGCTCTGTCTTTCTCGCTCTCGTGGGTCGTCGGGTGCGAGAGAGACAGAGCGACAGAGTCCTCCGGGCCGCGACGACGACGTTCCGCGGGATTTCTGGCGCGACGCGCAATCTCCTTGCTGCCGGGAGTACACGCCGAGTGTTGCCGTTGATAAGTGCGTGGCGTTGTCGAACCGCACCAGACTGCGCGCTGGAGACGCCTCGGAGTGTGTAGTGGCGGGGCGGGGCGGGGCGGGGCGGGGTGCTGGGTTTTGTATTCAGTGCGGTGACAGCAGGGTAATCTGTTGTCATACTGCACGGCACCTCGCCCCTGATAACGCGCTGAGGCCGTCTCACGCCCCCGGCGCCCCCGCCGCCCCCGCCGCCCCCGCCGCCCCCGCCGCCCCCGCCGCCCCCGCCGCCCCCGCCGCCCCCGCCGCCCCCGCCGCCCCCGCCGCCTCCAGCCCTAGGGCTCTCGCCTGGCCTGGCCTCGGCACGCTCGAAAGGTGGCAAGGCTGTCTATAAGCAACACGGTCCATATTTCAGGCAACATTCACCTCACCCCCACATCCTTCCTCAAACGAGCGTTTTTCCATTTTTAGCAAGGGATCTCTTCACTCATTTTCGTCACTTTTTGGTCGCATCCTCTTCTTCTCTCGCTCACATTCTCCTTCATATTCCGGTCGCAAAGAAGTGACAGAAATATAAATTTCTTTAAGGTAAAAGTTTAAAAGCATAGGTAAAATAAAACGACTTCAAATTTTCTTAATATTTTTTTGCTTGTGAAGCTTCTTTGCATTTCTACATAGTCTAGTCGCGTACCACGAGTAGTAGTAGCGCGGCTGGCGGTTGGTCTATTCTCGCTCTCGCCACACGGAAAGGCCCACGCGCGCCCTGACACACACACACACACACATACACACACACACACACACACACACACACACACCGACGAAAACTGAGTGACGTGGGGTCCAAGTGAATGGCAGTAATTGTTGACCGGCCTGTCCCCTGGGCCGTGCTGGCTGCCCCTGGCTGCCCGGGCTGCCCGGGCTGGCGGGATTACTTTAGGTGTCCTGCGGCGTGTCCCTCTCGCTCTGATAACTGAGCCGAGGGAGTCCTCTCCTAATCCGGTCCCCGGGCGCGTCGTCCTAATCGAGTTGACTCCCAAATATCGTTCTCGCCACTATTCGCAGAGTGGCGGGCAGCACACTGGGTGCAGACTGCGAATAACGTGCAGTGATATGAGGCGGCGGGGCCGCCTGGCCGCCGCCGACAAATTGCTTTGAATCGGGCGGGCGGAGCGGGCGGGTGCGGCAGATCAGATTGATTGGTGAAGCTATTGGGTCTACACGCTCCGATGGCAAGGTTTGCCATTAATTGCACCCGTTCCCATGGAGGCCTGCTTTTTGCTCGGCCCGCCGCGCCTGCACCGTGAAAAGAAAAGGGCGCCACGAGCGCGACGCCGCGCACTTCATGAAAAATCCGCGAGCAACTTATCCGCTTTAAGAGGACGGCGTGCTTTGACGTACTGTGAAAAAAAAAGAACGCGTCCGGAGCGAGGAAGCAAACACTCACCGCGGTGGCGGCGTGTACTCCCTGCCGAAACGACTCGGCCAGTCTTTCAATTCGAACAAAACTGGCCTTGCCTTGCCTCCGCCGCGTTGCCGCGCGGCCGCGGCGTGTCCCTTTAATCCAGCGGCGCCTGGCGGGGCCTGGCGGGGCCTGGCGGGGCCTGGCGGGGCCTGGCGGGGCCTGGCGGGGCCTGGCGGGGCCTGGCGAGGCCTGGCGGGGCCTGGCGGGGCCTGGCGGGGCCTGGCGGGGCCTGGCGGGGCCTGGCGGGGCCTGGCGAGGCCTGGCGGGGCCTGGCGGGGCCTGGCGGGGCCTGGCGGGCCTGGCGGGGCCTGGCGGGGCCTGGCGGGGCCTGGCGGGGCCTGGCGGGGCCTGGCGGGGCCTGGCGGGGCCTGGCGGGGCCTGGCGGGCCTGGCGGCGCCTGGCGGGGCCTGGCGGGGCCTGGCGGGGCCTGGCGGGGCCTGGCGGGGCCTGGCGGGGCCTGGCGGGGCCTGGCGGGGCCTGGCGGGGCCCTGGCGGGGCCTGGCGGGGCCTGGCGGGGCCTGGCGAGGCCTGGCGGGGCCTGGCGGGGCCTGGCGGGGCCCTGGCGGGGCCTGGCGGGGCCTGGCGGGGCCCTGGCGGAGCCCTGCAGGGAGGCGCGGCCTTTCGCTCGTGAATACGCGTCCTTGTTTTTCTTGTTTCCCCCTTGTTATTGTTGTTGTTTTTCGGCGGCCGGCTCTAATTTTAAAGCGCGGCCCTCCTTTTGGCAGTGTGCAATTACAGCACGTGTCGCGCGCTTTTGTCTGCGGCGCAGGGAACTGTTTTTTCCCTTTCTTCGCCTCGCCTCAGCCTCGGCTCGGCTCGGCTCGGCTCGGGAGGCCGGCGAGGAGTATTTGCATATGCAGACCGGCCGGGAGTATTGCGCGGCAGCCAGATTCAGATTCCGAATGAGACTCCTCTGCGACACGCGACGCGCGCCGCACCGCACCGCGCACCCTGACGAACTTTCTGGCCGGGCCGTGTGGCGCCGCGCGTGGCGGTGCGGCCCGTGGCGGGGCGTAGTGCACGAGGTACTTTGGAGCGCGCTGCGGGGCGTGGCGTGGCGGGGCGGGGCCGAGGGGGCGGGCCGGGACCAAATCAATTTGCTCGAATTGAATTTCATGTGGACGAAATGGCAAGCCTTGCGTGCGTGTGGGTTGTGTCCCTTTCCCCCGGCAGCACTAGAGGGGCTTCACTGGCACCAAACTCGCCGCACCCCGCCCCGCCCCGCCCCGCCCCGCCCTGCTTGAATGGGGTTCCGTCTGCCGCGGACGGGTGCGCTAGTGCTGCCAAGTGCTGGCGACCCCCGCCGCCTGCCATCTGCACGCTGCGGTCTGCTCGGCAACAGGGTTGTTAAAGTTAATTTTTTTGGTTATCGAGTTATCGTTAAGTTAATTTCCGACTCCTGTTAACGATAACTAGTTAACGTTAACACCTCTCAGCCACATTATCGAGTTATCGATAAGTTACTTTTAACGAAAATCGTTAAAAGTAACTAACTTTTTTAAATGGAGTAATGAAGGACAATAA